GTTGTAATTAATCGTACAGCATAAAAACACATGAGATCTCAGCATTTGGAATTCTCGCCAAATGTCACATCCCCGAGAAAGCCTTTCCTCAATCCCCATACTTAATGAGATCCTGCTGTCCCCTTCTCTCAATGGCCCCGATCATCCTTTATTATGCTCCCTGGAACTGTGATCACAAATTTACAGTTGTAGTCATAGTCAAGTAACCACACACCAAAGATTTCTGAGTGCTTCTGTTTCTCCCACTGGATATGAACACCAGGAAGACAGGAACCAAGTCTGCTTGTATCAGCCGCGAGCCCAGAGATCGCAGACCATGAATCCTGGCTCACTGCAGGATGGACTGCATCCTAGGTAGGTTGGAGGGACATGCAGAGCCACTAGGCATCCTCATACATGGAGGTGAGGGATGATGCTTGGAAAGTGGAGGAAGGTTTATGAAGAGGTCAAGATGAACTGGGAATTAAAGGATGAGTAGGAGCTTGTAAGGCAGGAGGAGGGGACTCCCATGGATTGGGCAGATGCAAATGTCTTCAGGGTAGCTTTTAGAAAACAGTGGGTCACCTTAGGGGCTCAAGGAAGGTTTGGCTGGAGACTACGACTCCTCTCCACTGAACAACTGGGTGCCAGGAACTCTCAATGCAGTCTCACACAATTCTCAGAGCTCCTCAGCCTTGGGAGGTCCCTATCCTGTGTTCTCTTCCAACAAATGAAGAAACTGAGGCTCAGAGCAGTTAAGTAACTTACCAAGGCCACTGGTCACTAAATTACTTTCCTGGTAGTACTATGTCCCCAGTTACATGCCTGAGATGACCCCTGATGGTTTCTGTGGCCCTCTAGTGTCTTTCCACATCCACCCTTGGCTGGGTCAGGGGAAATGTGACGGCGTGAAGAGCTCATATAGAGTCCCGGCCTGGGCTCCAGGGCCCGTGGGTGCCCAGGACAGAGCTGCTTTCTGGCTCCACAGGTGCTGGAACAACCTCTGGGAGGAGATGCTCTGTTAGGGTGGGCTCCTCCCCTTCCAGCACATGCACACACTGGAACACCGGAAATAGACAAAGCTGCTCTGAGTCCTGGCTGCTACCCCGGTCACTCTCCTCATGCTGCCCAAGAGCTGGGCCACTCCCACGTTTTGCTGTCCACCTGGAACCCTGGCTCCCCGTGACTGCTCTGGATGTACAGTCATGCAGTAGATATAACAAAGACTCGTATTCACCACTCTCCAAGGGGAACTGACACAGGGTGCTGCCCTTCTTAGAGCCCCATGGGGGAAGGTCATGATCCTCCTCTCAGAAAGGGAAAGAGAAGCTCAGAGGGGGTGTGGCTTTCACAAAGACAACTTATCCAGGATGTGAACTCGGGTCACTCTCATGCCAACCCTAGGCACTTGCTGTGGCTCACACCTTCCCCCAAATACCCACCTCAACCCACAGACTTGGCCTAGGGAGGAGCGTTTGTTGATTGAAAAACAAAGGCCCTTTGTCTGCCAGGGAGGGGACACTGGCAAGTGGGTGCAGTGTGGTGCATGGTCCCCAAGTCTGAGAGGGCGAGGAGGGATCCTCAGGAGGTGATGGAGCACAGGAGTCCCGAAAGCTCACGGTGGTGCTCACTGGGCACCCTTGGGAGATAGTGACCATAGGGACTGGGTTAGAATGTGCCTGGGGCCTCCAGCCCAAGGAGGTTCAGCCTCAGGCCATGGTTGAGTGCTGCAGGCAGCAGGACGACCCTTTATTTACCAGAAGGGTTAACAATCTTTGCCAAGAAGATCATGGAAGGTGTGAGTTTCTCATAGACCATCATCAGGAAGGGTTTGTTCAACTTGACATTTTGTGGAGTCTCCATGGGCAGTGTCTGCGCTCCAGAGCCTGCGGCCCCTTCTGTCCCCTTCTCGTCCATCTTCAGCTCAGCCTTATGCACAGCCTGTGGGAATCAAGAGTGAGGTCAGTGCCTGCCAAGACACTCAGAGGCCATGATGGGCAGAAGCAAGAGACCAGAGAGGGAGACAACTTAGGCAAAGTTACTCGGCACAGCTGTAATGTGCCAAGGTTCCCGGCTTTTCTGCTGTCATTGTGGAATGATATTTGACAAACAGATGCAGCCCGAAGATGGTGTATATGTGTGTGTGTGTGGGGGGGGGGTCAGTGATAACAGGGAGACAGGGGGCTAATTACCCTTCCCATAAATTTCAGGGGACCTTCAATCATGATGGTGGCAGAAAGGGTCTATGGAGTCTTAGCTCAACCTGATGGATGGTTGAGAGGGAGCCAGATTCCAGATTAGCCTCTGGAGATGTCTCAGGCCCCAGATCCACCCCAGTGGCCTCAGCATCTGTGACCAGGTGACGGGTTCTGGAGAATGGAGGGTCCCTTGTGAGACACCGACAAACTTCTTTCTTGTCTACAAAATTCCAACAATTTTCCTTGCAGGAAACTGGCCAGTATCCTCTGCTAGCGTCAGGGGTGCCCGGATACCTCACTAGAGGAGAGAAAGGAGCCGTGGAACTCAGTGAAGGCCGTGGGAAGGGGAAGCTGGCGGCCTTCAACATTTGGGAACTCTCCAAACTAAAGTAGAAAAACTCAACAGCTAGAAAATTCTATCGGCTACGTGTTTCTTTCTTCTTGATAGCTGGAAGATAAAGCTGAATCTGTCTTCGGATTCAAAACAGTTGGCTCAGCTTGGTCACCCATATTGCTCCTGGAGTGGCTGGAGCCTCCCTTCACCCACGGGTACCAGCCCTCACCTGCTGCCTTTGGCCACGCCCCTCCCTCCCATGGACCATCCCCCACACTCTACTCGGACTCTGAAATCCTTCCCCTTGCCATGCTCTTTTCACTCCAAAGTAGGTCTGCTGGACAATACACAGGGCATTCAGTCAAATTTGAATTCAAGATAAGTTATGAATACATTTAACCAAAAATATGTCTCATGTAATAATTTTTATGCTTAAAAAAAACTCATTATGTATCTGAATATCGAATTTAACTGAGTGTCTCCTATTGTCCCTGCTAAATCTGGTGCCCCACCTGCCCCGTGCTCTAGGCCTGATAAATGTTCCGGGACCTGATCATTTTGTTGCATTGAATCAGCTTTCAACATAGCACTAAGAGAGTGGCAGTTCCAGTGCTAAAGACTGGAATCAAAGGCTTGAGGAGGCCTTAGGGTCTTCCCTGGACCACAGAGCTGGTCGGGGGAGAGCCAGACTCCAGCCCCGCCTGTGTGACAAGTGGCAAGGCTGCTTCCTCCCTGGCCTGGCCCCTGTGCGGCGTCTCTGCCAGGCAGTTGGCGCGCCCTCTGCTGGAGGGCAGCGGCAGGGCAGCCTTACCTCGCTCACTTTGAGGCTGCGGTAGGGGGAGATTCGGGTGAGGTCACCATTCTCCTCAAAGATTTTACTGATGCCCAGTTGGGAGAGAGTGTTCTTCAAGTTATAGGTACCAGAGATGTGGAGCCTGGGCACGAACACATTGACAACCCTGGGGAGTTAAAATGACAGGCGTGAGCAGAAACGTCCTACTTGGGCAAAAAGAAAAATGACAGTCATGGCACCCAGGACCAGGTCCTCTCTTCTTCTCTGCCTGCCCTCTGTCCCTCCCCCTGGAATCTCATTCAGTCCTAGGACCTGGAATACCAAGAGCCGGCCAGACGACTCCCAAGTCTACCTTTCCACTCATTCATTCATTCAGCAAATACTTATTAAGTGCCTGCTGAATACCAGATGCTGTTCTAGGTGCTTGAGATGAACCTGTGAACAGAACAGGCAAAGATCCCTGCCCCTGACCCGTGTTCCAGCAGGGAGGACAGATCATGGAATGGACACAGTGAAAAGCACTGTGGGCATATTCGCAAATGCGGGAGGCGGCAAGTGCTACAGGAAAAAATGAAGTATAAACCAAATTTCAGGGACGCTGGGCAAATCTTGAAGGAGACAGGGACCCAGGTGAATGGGCCTTTTCCCTGAAGGGAAACTGGAAACCCAGTAGAGTCTCCACTGTAGGAGTGACACGGTCCCTTCAGGGTTTAGAGGGGACCCTCCGTCCACTCCATTAAGAGCACCCCCCTGGTATTGGGGTGGGGGTGAGTGAGGAGGTGATGCAGGGTGACACCCTCCACGGCAGTCAGGTGTTGGGGTCACAGTGGTGGAGGCAAGAGGCCAGGTTCCAGAGTCACTGTACAGCAGGGCCAGCCGAGATTCCTGACAGGCTGATGGAAGGGCTCAGAGGAGCCATAGATGGAGGACGACTCCCGGGTTTTAAATTGAGCGGGTGGTCCTGGCAAGGCCCCACAGCGGGGCGCAGGATGGCAGTCTAGACAGGGCAGGCTAAGATCCTATTAGACTCCCCAGAAAGTGGGGGGATGCTGGGGAAACAGGCAGAGTCAGGAGCCTGGATTCAGGTGAGAGATCTGGCAGCCTGGGCCTGGGGGTGGGGGATGGTGCTGAAGCCCAGGGCACTGCACGCTGAGGGGGAATCCCAACAGGATCCCTGTGGAGGTCAGAGCCCATGGCCCTGAGCCCAGCACAGAAGAGGAGGAGGAGCCCACGGGCAGACAGAGCTGGTGCTGTGGGAGGAGCCCACGGGAGACAGAGCTGGTGCTGTGGGAGGAGCCCACGGGAGACAGAGCTGGTGCTGTGGGAGGAGC